CTACTAAAGTGAAAAAAAGAAAACATGCAGTTAACCTGTGTCCAAATTCCATTGTTTCTGTTGTCACCCCTTTCCCAAAGCAGGGCATCTGGTTTTGCTGCTAACCGTTGAAAGCAAGAGGTTTAACATCTGCCAACCTGAAAGTAGCTTTGGGGACTGTCAGCACAGTCCCGGCTTAGGTGGAACAGCTTGGTCATGATTGAAAGTAGTGCGAAGCAGGCATGTTGGAGCTTCTGAGCGATGGCAGTGTTTCTCCTGGGCAAGGGGAATTTGTGGCAGGAGGCTTGGCTACCACAACACTTCAAACAGCCCTCTGCAAATGCAAAGTTTGTCAGAGGTGTGATGTGGGCAGCTTCATTTCCTCAAGTACCTTGTACGTTACCTTGTCTCTACTGAAGGCGGATCAGCCAAATTGGTTTCCACAAAGGACTTCTGTCTACTAGCCAGAAATGTTTTTTTTAGGTTAAAGTTCACCTCATAAACAATCTGAACATGTTAGTAGATTGTTTCAGTTACAAAGCCAAGAAGTCTTAAAACAAGGAAGCTAGTCCGTAATGGTAATTTAGAGTAATCCTCACATATTAGGGCTTAGGTGGTTTGGCAGCAAGTGCTAGAAATGAAGTTGTCCCTGTTACATTTAGGATTTTATGCTCCATATCACAGTAGATTTGTGTGTGTGCCTGGTTGTCCATCCCCTGCTGTTTTGTTTTCCCCTGTGATCTGCATCGTATGAGACTGCACACCAATATTTCACAGAACTGTACGGTGGAGTGTAGACAGCTGTTAATTGGCATAGTTAAAATGATACACATGAACAGCAGTTTTTGCCTTTTCCCACCAGATACTTTCAAAACTGCTTCGGGCTGTTAATTTTTGGCAGCTCCCTTTATTTCAGAATCAATATTGATGCATATTATAATTAAATGAAACTTGAGTCTGAGTTAATAAAGTTTAAATAAAAAGAAGAGCCCATTTGTATATACATACAAATGTGTGTGCATATGCATATTGTGCATCTTCTTCCTTGTGCATCTTCTCTTTTCCTTCAGGCAGCTTAGGAGCAACACATGCTGCTGCCGGTCAGCTGCAGAAAGCATAGCTCTGGTACTGTTTTTCCAACCACGGAGTTTTACAAAACTTTAGATATGTACCTCAATCAGATATTTGTAGCGAAAACACTCTCTCTGTTTTGGTACTGTAGGCTGTGCCTGTAGGAAGCACCATGGATTTAACTCATATTCCGGATAGACAGATGAGTGCCTGTAGAGATTTCTTTTAACAACCAAGTCATGCGTCAAGTTTTGACTTGAATTGCTTCCTTAAAACACACTCTCCCTTCGCTAGGGACAAATACTGTGAAATAATGATGGGGGGAATTATAAAAGATGTTCCTGTATGAAGAAGGGCAGAACAGACCTGCAAACCTTCACTCAAGCAATGCTACCACAGTATCTGAGCAGCAGGCAGATGGGTTGTTTAATAGAAAATGCTGCAATATTTCCTGCTTGCTGTTGTTCCTTTTGGATTTCTTTGTATACCTTCTTAATGCAAAGCTTGTTCTAGTCTCACTTTGAGGTGTAAGATTATTCTGAAAATTTTTACATTGGAAAGAAACTGAGTGTTGAACTTCCTTTCTGCAAATGAGAACTAACCAGGTGTGGATGTGTTGGAGCACAGGTGGATGCTGTGGGAACGTGCTGCTTTGCCTCCAATTTTTAGCAGCTTATTCTGTGTGTATAAAACTGCCTGTTGTCTGGAGGAAACAGCCTTGAGTTGGATGAAGCGTTTGTTCTAAACCTTTCCTTTCCTTCAGAAGAACTTCACAGATAAAATTCCCCTTATACAGCGAGCTTAAGGTTCTTCTGACTCACAGTTGTTGGGGAGCCTTCCTGTACCACACTCACCTTCAGGTAGATGGGGAGCGCAGCCAGCAGTTGTAGTCTTTTTTATGCCAAACTTGGCACACCTAGAAAGCCGCAACATTTTTGTATGAAAATCATTGTTATTATTCTTCTTTATGTATGACAGACAAATGTGGTGTAGAGTCTCTGAACGTGAGAGAATCAGACAACTCCAGATCCAGAATTAATGCATTGAAAATGTTTGATTTCATTCAACTGTAGTAAAACACCTCTTTCATTGTGAGGCTGATATCATATCTTAAACTATTTTGATGAAGTGCTTTCAAAAAACATTTATTACGGTGTCCATATTTCTGTGAGTTCATTTTTTTCCTCCTGGATTCTGTTATAACATTTCTCATTACACATTGTGAAAATATTTGGAGAGATTGTTTCTTGATACGAAAACTTCTGCAGAGCAAGCTGGGTGTGTAGGCACGTGTCTGTGTGCAGAGAGTCAGTGAGTTGTGTCCAGTCAGCACCAATGCTGTTTCCCAAAGATTTGAAAAAGTAATAACATACTTAACATTTAAGAGTTGAAGCAGTACGTCTCACTTTTAGTAAAAGGTTTTATAAGACTTCAGAGCATTTTTTTAAATATATCCAAGAAATATAATCTACTTCAAGGGCTGTTACCTAGAAATAATATTAGAGCATTTAATTCTTTATGCTGCTGCTTCATTGTGCAACTATTTTTTTTTCTTTGCTTTTTCTGATTCAGATACAAGACATCAGCAGTCTAAAAAATTACTCCTTGCAACTACTTTGGAATATACAGTAGCTATACAAAAACAAAATAAAAATTGAAGTACAGCTTAATATCTGTCATGAACAAGATTTGTGCCAAAAAAATGCAGATTCCTGGGGTAATTAGTTTGATAAAAGTATTTGCATGTGTAAGTTACTTAACTTGAGGTTAAGATGCATCGCAATGTTCAGACACTAAAGAAATTAAATCTGGACTGAGGAAAGAACAGAGGTCAAAAAATGTCGGCATGCTGCAGGCTGTGGTCATGTAAGACACAACTGAGAAAAAAGAACCGCAGGGAAGAATTGTAAACTGATGTGTTTGAGTATCTTCCATTAGCGCATTGTATTAGTGACTCTGTTTTCTGTTCTCTGAGAGTCTTTCTTTTAAAACGCAATGTGGCTAAATACATCCCTGTATTTTATAGGAAATTAACCGTCAAATATGGTACATATTACAATTGAAATAAATTTTCAAATATGCAACATTATTTTTTGTTAAACCCTGTGTTTTGTAATTAAAGAAGTCCAATCCACCTTTCCTTTGGCTGCAGGATTTTATTAACATTTTAACAGTTTCATTTTACATAATAAATAAGCAAAAATGCTTTACATTTTTAGGGAATACATATGTAATTCTGAGCATTAATAGGTTGTTTGTTTTGCGTACTTTTTCACCTACATTTGCCAAATAGCTTTTATCTGCATCATATAAAAAAAGCAAAATCTAATGTTCAGGAAAAAAATGGAATAATAACATTTTCTTTGTGTTGTTTTTGAAGTATGACTGAAATGTTGAAAAAATACTTGATGTCCTGTTTTGTGATTTTTAGAGAAATACTGGTATTCTGGCAGGTTTCCCACTCATTTGTACTTTATCTCAGTGATACATTCTCCAGTTTTACACCTGTTGTCCCCTGTGCTTAGTTGCACTGAAAATACTCTTTTTCAAATTACAGGGCTACTGCGACCTGGAGAGAAGTCTCTTCCCTTATCACCTTATTTACATTCCGGTGTGTCTGTTGTTAATAGGATAAAAACTTTGAGACCTCAATATGGGATTAATGTTTCCAACTTTGCATTTTGGAAGAACACTCCCTCTGTCACTCTCTTTTTCCCTCTCTCTCTCTCTCACTCTCCATATCATTTACTTGCTAGGTCTGAACTCCCCTAAGAGTTAAAATCCTATCGAGGTGCATGACAAAGGTACGTAGAGTGGCTCAAACAAGTAGGGTAGAGAGAAATGAGGTTATTTTTCATAATATATTCCATTTCACACTCCACTTCTGTGACATAATTTTTTCCAATTATTGAAAGCATTGCCACTGCCAATGGCTGTGCTGCATTCTGCAGTACAAGTGTGAACATCTATAGTTTAACTGACTGCAAGTCTTGTTTTTCTCTCAGTATAATTTACTCACATGCCAGATGTGAACGTGCAATTGCTGTTTCTATTTTGGAATAACAGAAAAAATGTTTCACACATTTGGTTTTTTAATCACAGCTTTTTTCTAGACCTGCCCCATATTATCATATGTGAGTGCATAATTGATTCATTATTGCCTAACAGGGAAAGTTCATGTACCTGAATATCATGTACTGTGACACATCTGCAGGAGAGTGATGGAACACCTCCTCTGCTCAGGCTCATTGAGTAAAGCCAGGAAGTGTGAATAGCAAGGTAGACGCTGGAAAAATATTTCGTGGTATTCTACTGAAAAGTATCAATGGCTTTTTTTTTAACTGAAGCCTAATTTGTACGTTCCTGAAAACATCTTTTTCTAGTGAGAAGTACTTACAAGAACAGAATAATACATCAGATTGACTTTGTGTGCAGCAAAGCCACTGATGAGGTATAGAGAAAAGTATGGTGTGGGAGTTGTGCATCAGGTTTCTTTCTAACAATGCAAACAGCGTCAGTTATTTCTTTGTAGGGCTTGGTTTTAATTTAGCAAAATTAACATACAAGTTAGCATAATTATATCTTTTAAGGAGTTGGGCCCATTTATTTATTACACTGGCTGGGAAGGCTACTGACCAAAGCCACTAAAAAACCAACTTGTGTCTCATCGTTTTGATTTATAGAGTTGGAATGGCAATAATATTCAGTCATAACATTTCTGTAGGCTTGCTAACTTCTCTGTCTTTAGACAAACCAAGGACTGCTGTTAATACTGAGTGAGTGAATATGCTGGTTTGGTTCTGCTTCTTTTTAAGTCAGTGTTCCGGTAATGGCTCACTAGGTATTTTTGTTATATTTATCATGAAAGATATTTTTCATGCTTTTTTAGCCAATGAAAAAGTCAGACGGGTGTGAGTGTTTTTCCATATTGCACAAGCCAGGTAAGCATTTTCTTTAGCGAAGGTCTCTTTAGAGAGAGTCTGATAAGAGAGAGAAAGTTTTAAAAATGTGAATTAGCCTTGAATTGGGCTAAGAAATATAGCTAAATATAGCTGACTCAGCTCTACAACCACCTTTATTGCTGGTGTCTACAGCTGTTATTTAGGGAGCCATTTGCTGGTTTATCAAGAGCACACAAAGTCTGGGGAGGTGGTTGAAGAACGAAGTGGTCTGACTGTTGTCAGTTAAACACACACAGGTTTGTATGTCTCCTCATTTGTAAACTTCACAAAGGAGTAAAAAAAAAAGAGGGGGAAATCTATTCCTGATAGGCTGGACAAAATGTAAATGTGTGCTGCATGCTCAATCTCAATCACAAATTGAGATGTGTGCAAAGTGTTCAGTTTCTAGCCCCGACATGCTCAAACTCTGCTTTACTTCAAGTGCAACTTTGGTTTTTGTGGTCGTGCAGCGACTTTCAACTTTCCCTATTTGGATTATCCGCTGACATTATTTGTGAAGTGCACGAATCAGTCAAATATTAATCTTACCTTTGTGTTGACAATGAGATTTATGCTTGAGGAAGTTCAGTGTGTTAAAAGCTGAACTTGGACTTCAGAAGGCTACTGGTAAGTTTAAAATAAAGCATAAATGTTCATTATTCCCTTGACTATAAGGAACACATTTCTGTTGCTATTAAGATGCCTTCTCCCAGAATACTCAGTGACATGCACACTTTTGAAGTTTCTTTTTCTTATTACAACTTTTTATGGGGAATAGTCTTTAGTTCCTGCTACATGATTTGTCCCAATTTGCCATGACAAGACCTGTAACCCTTTAATACCTATCTTTGTATGTATTAATTTGTCATATCATTTTTCGTCAAGATAAATAGTGGTGGTAACAATCTCAGAACACTGAATTCTATGTTAAATAAATCAAATTTAGATTTGGTTTATTTACTTTAAAAACCTCTGGATAATTAATAAATAAGCTTTTTCTAAATGAGGTTCTGTTCAGTTAGTACAGCTGTATTATGGATACTAAAAATCACCACTCTTTAAACCAAGTTCATTTGTCGAGATGTTTAACATGTGGGCAGAGAGTTGATGTAAAGTTTCACACAGTTTGTCAAAAATACCTAAACTAGAGTGTATAGATTATGATAATGATAAAAAAATCTTGAATGTATTTTGAGAAGGAGGGATTAAGGAAAAAAATGTTTGTCATATAAATCTCTGCATATAACACCTATCATTTAATTTTTTTACACACTATAAAATAACAAAAATAAGATCTGTAACGTGTCTTCTCACTGGCACCAGAGCTTAACCTGTGACAACGAAGCACTGAAGCTAGATGTAGGTATTTTTCCTGACCTTGGAGGTAGTTACACATGGCTTGCCAGGAACATGCGAGTCTGTCCCCTCATTGACCTTCAGCTATGCTCAGTAAATGTAACCATGTTTCCTCGTGCTTTTTGCAAATCATGACAGTTTGGCTTCTTAATTAAATGCAGATACTCCTCAATTACTGTCACCTCCCATTGGCTATTATTACAGAAGTTCCAATATAATGGGGTAGTGCAGATTCCTTGTGGGTTTCTGGAGAAGAAGCTGATGAGGGGCTTTGGTTTTTGTAAATAAATGTATTTACTTCCTCGGAATTGTATCCATAATTTTCTCCTACATGTCCTGTTGCTGTACATGCTGAAGTTTGAAATGTACCATGTTTGGCTAAAACATGGTGATAATTTAGAAGCACAAATGGAACTTGTCCAGAGGGTCTCACATCCATCACACGTTCACTTTCAGAGTCATGATCGAGCTTTACAGTCATTCTCTCATCGCTGTCCGGTTCGTCTGGATTTGTACTGTGGTGACTAATATGCCCATATTTAGGTTCTTTCATACAAATCCTTCTCGTTTGCTCATATACTGAGGGCACTGGCAGGAGATGACTTAATTGTCCTGCAGCTTTAGACTGGAAACACTCTGATTTTGGCAGCAAGGAGTTAGCTATTGAGTTTGAAAAAGAACTTTCATTAATGCTCATTTTTTCTTGTAGGTCTCTGTTAAAAGCTAATTTGTTTTCTTCTTTGATGAGGTGGTGCAGTGGCTGAATCCTGTTTTCTATTTTGTTGGGTTTCATGATGCCGGAATCATAAATCTCTTCTTTGTATCTGCTGCCTGGCATGGGTGCTGTGCAGCTTGTAAAGCTGTCAGCTAGAGCGTCTTGGCTGTATCTTCTGTTTGATATGGGCGCTTGCAGAAAAGAGAAAACATGTTAATTACTGACAACGAGCTCATACACTAGTTAGACTATAACACTTTTTGTGACTGAACTTTAATACCCATTTGGTTTGGTCCAGATCCAAGTCCCACTGAAGCCATCAGAGACATTCCTGTTTGCCTCAGTGGATTTGGATAAGTCTCTTTAAGACAGTACTGAAAAGTTAAAAAAAAAAAAAAAAAAAACACCACAAAAACAACCCTTTGAGAAGGGCCAAGAGTGTCAAAAAATTCTGAAAAGGTTTTCCATGTGAAGTGCCCATTTGTCTATTTGACCGAATAATTATAAATCAGGTAAGCACTTGTCAGAGATTTATCAAGCAATTTACCAAAGGGTGGATAACGTTTATTACACATCAATGATTCAGTGATTAGGGTAAAACAGAATTTATTCTTCTTGTCACTGTAGAAGTATATTGGACACCTGCCCTTGTAAGGAAAGATGAGAGTTTGTAGTACCAGATACTGACATGTTAGTATCTGATTTGTAATATTTGTGATATCTGTAACATATAGACTGTGTCATGTTAAAGGCTTTGCTTTTTCTCTTTGAAAAGCTAGTATCAGATGTTAAAAACATCTACTTAAAAGCAACAGAAATACTTCTTGAGTGATGCTGTATCTCTGCTTTTAAGGTACTATTGTATAGTAAAGCTATATGTATAATATAAATGTAATTCACAACATACACTGAGAACGTTTGTTTGGAGTACTAAACTGGGTATACATGGAAAATCAAAAGCTAGATTCTTAAATTTTCAAGAGAGTATAAACTCTAAAACAGTATATTTCTGTTCAGGCTTTTTCTCTAAAATATATTGAGTAATCTTGCATTTCTCTTAAGTTTATGAGTGGTAGCTGAACTCCTGAAAAAACTTTTATAATTTTCTGCTTGGCTTATGCAGCTTTTCCTTTTTGTAAGTAAAGCCGCTGGTTTACTCTTATACAGTATGGCTAAAATTAGGTGAGTACTAATTTTGTTGCACTGTCATGTGTGAACAGTTTGACAGTTATACTACTCCTCCAAGGCATATTTGGAAGTTTTATGTTAAAGGTTAAATGAGGCACTCACCAAATTTCTCAGGTTAAACTTAAACTCTATTTTGTGTTACACTAAGTGAAAGCCCTGGACACCTAAGTACCTCTTGTAAAAGGGATTTTCTCTTTTTCTAAATATTTTATTCAACATCTTAAAAGTTTTGGAGCTCCCTTGTAGTGGTTGCTGATGTAACTGTACCCGCTAATTAAATATTCCCTGTGCTGTAGCAGGCTGGCAAAGCCTTCATGTATAACAGAGGAAGCAGAAATAGCTCAATTGTTCCTTTTTTTATATGCACAGCTTCATTAATTTCAGAGGGAGTTGTGCCACATAATTAACACCAGAATTTAAACAGGACTCTGGATCCAGTTTCTTCCTGACCAACCCACCACCCTCCTAGAAACAACAGCCTTTCAAGTTATTCTTTTCCATTTCCATGTATACATTTGGTATCAAGAAGTATATGCATTCCTGAATAAACTGAATTCTTATCAGCTGTTGAAAAATGACCCTCTTAGATCAGGAATCAAAGCGGATTCAGGCACATGCTTGAGTATAACTTGGAAAATTTACCAGTGTAATTATACTACTATAATTTTAACTCCCCATTTGGCATTTTTACCACAAAATAAGTATCTGTGTTGAGAGTTACTGACGTATAACTAATATGGTTTAACTAATCTGGTATACTGGTTTTAGTGTTTTTCCCACTGGACACCTCCACAGGAGTGATGGCCTTGTTCTCTTACTGCAGTATGGAGCATTGTTACTTTAAGGTTCTGCTCTAATCTCTGGACAAAAGATTGTCCTTTTCCACTCTTAGGGCCCACACTTGTAAGAAGCTGAAGCATCACAGCTACCAGTTGGCCACTGTGTTGTTATCTTCATTTTTCTAATCTAAAATTCTGATGGGCTGATGGCCATCTTCTTGGTACCAAGAAATAATTTGCGTACTTGGAAATTTAGATGATATTATCCATTTTATTCTATCCTGTTTCTCAAACATGTTTTTTCTCTCTTTTTTTAAGGAAGAAGGTGAGCATCTGGTTAATTGTTTGCAGGCTTCCATTAAAGTTATGGGCAAATTGTTGGAGTTAGAGCAGACAGTTAAGCAAGCCATGGCTGCAATGCAACACAGCACTGCAGTTTTTGTCTGCTCACATTCAGAACAGTTACTGGAGCTAGCATTAAACCTGCTTTTGTCTTCCTTTGCAGACAAAAACCCAAGAATGCCCTGGGAAAGGCTCCTCCTGGGGAGTTTTTTTCATACAGAAGTTAACAGAAAGCTGATCAGCTGCTCCATGCTGCTGTAAAAGGGCAGCACCCCAAGTTTGCTTCCACCCAGCTGGCATGTGGGCAGTTGCCAGAGTGCCTGCCTCAGCAGGTGCGGGGGGATCCCTTGCATTCCTCGCTTCTCCAGCACTGAAAATGCTTTACAGTCATTGAAGTCAGTGCATTAATTTGGGATGCTTTCCAGACCACTCTTCTGCCAGGGTAATTCAGCTGTGCCAAGTGAGGTAGATACACTGCACATCCAAGGCTGTGTATCATACCAGAGTGACACCAGCTTCCTAGAAGGCCCTTTATACTTGCTTTATGCTCTGCTTCCATTCATAGGAGCCTACAACTGCAACAGTGAACTCAGTCCTTCAGGCATCATGTCTCTTAATTCTTGCCAAGTTGCTCTGCCTTCCTGCTGGTGCACAGGGTGCAGCTCGGGCAAGTTGGGGGAACACCTGGAGATAAGAGCCCCATCACCTGGCAGCCTGCTCAGACTTCAGCATCCAACCATCCAACTGGGAACAGGAAGGCTACTCTAGCAGGTGTTGGTCTTTGTTTAAAACATACCGTGTCCATTCATAATTACAGCATACTAGAGCAATCTTTCCCCTGTCGAACATGGTGTTGCAGCATGGAGCATTCCCTCCTTGCTTTTAAGTAGTGCAGGCAAAGATCAGCTGGTGCTCAATGGGGAAAGATGCTTTCAAGAAAGGTATTTCATTCACAAACCTGCCTTTCTATACTAAGATATTCATAGGTAGAGCTGCTGCTGATTCTCTCATTGCCTCTATTTCAGTAAAAATGAAAGAAAGGCATCTTGGAACTAGGTTAAAGCAAAGAAAGGGTGGTACTCAGCATTGATCTTCGTGCAAAACGTATGCAGTTCTTATCAGCAGTTTTGCATTCTGTCTAAGAAAAATCTCTGGTTTTAGGACACAGCTGAAACCCTCTTCCATGTCAAACAAGGCAAAGATACAGCAGTTCTTAATACTGTCCATGCCCATGAAAAAGACATTTTTCGATTATCTCAATATCTGTGCTGTGTCCTGGTCTGAACCCTAACTGCAAATCACCTGAGGCATGGACTGATGTAATGACTATGTTCTCCATTATTCTCCCTCCAGAAACAGTAAACACCACCTTTACCTCTTTGAAATGCACATTTCAAAGAAGGTGTCATATACTTCTAGTAGTCACAGGCTAAACCTATGGAGTTGGGTTGGGGGAGGAAGACAGACAAGAGGTTATCATGGATTTTCTTAGTGTTCTTCATAATTTCCTGAGTTCTGGCATGATTAGTGGCATGAAGCTTCACACATATAGTACAGACTGGCCAACAGCATAGTTTAATGAGAAGTGGGTGCTGTGTTATGCACAGGAGGAATGTATCCATTCAAGTGCACAAAGGAAATGTCTCTGACTAAGAAGATGGTTGCCTTCTCTGAAGTTTCTTTTCTGATGACTAGGCCAGCTGGAAAAAAGTGGAAGAAGCTTCGAAACTGGATTCTGAGGCAGCAGCATCTGATTTGCAGGCAGTTTTATCTGCTACGTGCTTTTTCAGAGCTTTGATGGCTTGGCGTGATGATCTTAAAATCTCTAATCTCTCTAAAAGAAACTATTTTCCATAGAGAAAAATGTCTCTGGCCTACGGCATTTTTGGCAGATGCCTCTATGGGTGTGATGTGGAATAGCCCTAGCATCCAACCCGGTTGCCAGATGTCATATTTGGCATTGCCTTTGGATTGAAGATAATGACACTAAGCAGATCCTCTCTGCTTTGAAGCTTATTGGCTGTCAGTTTTTCAGTGAAATGCTGGAAAAGGCAGCAGTTGACAACGTAAGGAAGATCAGATGCCCCTTTCAATTCAAAGCAAAGAGGTGCTTCCAAAGGTTCAGATTTCTCTTCTGCCACCAGCTTCAGCAAAAGTACAGCAGAGCCAATTCCACCTCAGGAGGAAACAAACTCTGGAACAAGTAGATATAAATCCTCTTTGCAGTGGAGGCTCTGTTTTTCTTTCCCCTCTTATAACAATTAATGATCTCTGACCAGGCCTGAGTTTGACCATATTCTTTTTCCTTCCTAAATACTACAGCTATAAGTGCTTTTACAGAGAATTAATTGTACAAAGTCAGTTTTCATCAAATGCCCAATAGCTAAACATCCTTTAAAATACATCTGTGCTCAGAATAGAACCCACATATACCAACTTAAGCAACAAAATCTTAAATAGAAGTAGAACCAGAAGTAAGAACTGCTGGTATCACAGCTCCATTTTCCTCTTCAAGAGGAAAGGGTAAAGGTATGGATGCATGATGAAATTGAAAAATACCAGCAGTTGCTTGCAGTTTTTTGTTGAGATTTTTTTTTTCCTAACATATTTAACAGTATTCCTGTGGAATCCTTCTGACCTAATATATTTACTACTCTGTCATCTGCCCATATCAACCAACTGATGGTAAATTGCTTGTCTGTTACTATGCTTTTTTGGCTTTTCTGGCAAATTTCATGGCCACAGTCAATTTTACAGATTGTTCTCGCAACAGGATGTTCTTTCCACATCCATTCTCAGTGTATCTGAAGGCAAGGGGTGGATCTACTTTCTTGGTCAGTCTCACGGTATCTGTTAGTCTGGAAGCAGAGAAGAAAAGCTGGGCTGACTTCTGTACACCTAGACTAGCTTTGTTCCTGCAGACTTACTGGAGGTCTGCAGGATTTCCTTCAATCCTTATACTTATCCTCAAAAGATGTAGCTTTTTTTATTATTTTCCACAAAGATACAGCATCTTTAGAAAGGACTAAACCATTTATTATTTTTTATCTAAAGCTACTCGTTTTCACACTCAGTCCACAACAGCAACAAAAGGAAGCCAGCACTTTAGAGGAGCATGGGCTCGGAAAAAGCATTTAACCTGCACTAGACTGTAAGAAGAGCTTCAGTCTTGCTCATTTTGAACCTAAACACAGAACAGTAAAATAAAATGCTACAGTCAGCTAAGTGAGGTCAAACAGTCTTGTGAAGGACAAAACCCTGGGCAGAAGTTATTTCCTCCTCTGTGGGAGACACACTCAATGTCCGATACAATCTTTTCTGATGTAGCAAGCTCAGCTCTTAACATTTGCAGGTCTTCAGATCTAGGATATCTAATGTCATGTCCCTAAGTGAACAAATGCTTGTTTCTGCTACGCAAGAATCTTGAGCCTATCTTTTCTAGCTTTTTCTTATTTTTTCCACTACTGCTTCCTCCATCCTGTCCTTAATGAAGCTAGAAGAACAAGTGTTTTGATTCAACTTTATAACAGTATGTCAACCAGTCAGTCTTCATCAGTGATGCTTAACTAATCAAAATGGTGTATTCGGGTAGAGGTAATGTATATGAGATCTAAGGATTAGAGTGTATCTTGAGCTTGTTTACATTTAGTTACTTTATAGCTCTGCATGATTATTTCTTATAGGTTGCTGCCTCAGAGAAGTCAATGTCTTCAGTGCTTCCTTCAAAGTATTTGAGCTGACCATCTGTACAGGGTGATGATGCTGTTGATTGGGGAGGTGCACTGAAGGCATTTTTAAATAACTCAGAAGACAGTGCATTTCATTTACTCTTTCACTGTAGTAACTGTAAGGTAAAGACATTCAGGATGGCTTCATACTCAGAAAGGACAACCTTCATTTTTTATGGAAATAAGATAATGTTTATTTTAATTTCTGTATGTGAACTGAACTACATTTGTTTCTTTCTGACTTCAACAATGACTTACCTGAGTAATTCCACTAAACAATTCTGATAGCGCAAAATACGAAGGTAAACTGTGCCAATATTAAAGGAGATGGTATCTCTGCCCTGTTCTAAAAGTGATTCTGGTGAATATATTTTTTGCAACTGATGCTTTGATAATATTCCTAATCAAGTACTTATGGTAATGGGAAGAGTGATGAATATGTAAATACTATAAACATAGCAGTTGTTGCACTTCACTGTTTCTGATTTCCTGTTTTCACACTACAATTACAAATCTTTCTGAGACACACCATGGCTTTGCCTTTCTTTTTTTCTTTTTTTAAAGTGACACCCACCTTCATAACTCTGTGCAAGATTATGTCGGATGATGTTCACTGGCTGATCAGGAAGATTTTTAGATGGTGACTGGCTGTTTGGTACCAAAGAGTTGGCATAATGCCACTGGCATTCTCCATTTGTCTGCAGTGTACTCAGGAAAAATCGAGCAACTTCACAAGGTGCTCCTTGAGACTGCCCAAACTTTGAAGGCAGCATTTGCTTTTTGCTACTGAAGACATGAGAATCTACAGGGAAGTGTCCATAATGGTAAGAGAAAGGCAAGCTATATGACGGGGCATATAAAAGTTCACTGTTTTCTGAATGGAAGTTTTGTTCTTGAATAGTGGCAGCGTTCACTGCGGGGCTGGATCGCCAGTTTCCCACCTGGCTGCATTCCAGTTTGTCAGTTTGGAATGAGCCGTATTGCTGGAGGAGAGAAAAAGAAAGGGAGGGGAAGAGAGTGAAATGACTAACTTTTATACGAAACTGCATAACCTATCATACAGGCCTGCAAAGCTGGGTCTCCCTGAACTGCAATCTCACTGGCTAAAGGGATAGGCTTACCAGTGCATTTAGAATTCCTTGTCTTCATGGTAACTTTACCTTTATTTAACATGGGAACGAAAAACTTTTGTCAGCCTAATGTCAAGGGTTTGTTTGATAATTCTGCCAGTTGGATTTTAGCTAGTAAGTATAGGCAGTTGTAAATACCAGAGGGCAGAAGTTTGTTGCAAAGCACATGAAGTCACTGATAAATAGCGTAGCAGACCATAAATATGGTTTTGCACATGTTGGCATGTCAGGCTTTAGAATGGTAGCAACACAAAATGTGTCCTTTGCATCAGCTTCTATCATAATGGCTTTCTCTTCCCACTGTCTCCCACACTCCTCTCCAGACTCCAAATGCTTTTTAGGCTCTCACTGTTTTGAATGTGGTATATTTGCTAGCTGTGTTCACTGCTGTTGTGTTTACATCACATGCCAGAGTTGGCGTGTACAACTTGTGCTGTCCACCCCAAGAACAAAAGGATCTAATTGTATTCTGGCCTACAAGCGAGTTCCTGCTGCAGAGCATACGATACTCAGTTTTACAGTAAGGTCAGTTCTGGATGGTTTCTATCCTGTCCCAAGCACTTTACCACAACAATTGGTAAGTAGATATTGCTGGAAAAGTTACCTGTTGTGGGTAAGGCGTTGTTCTGAGTTTTGCCTTCATTTTATTACTTTTGGGTTTTACAATTTTCCTTGTTTCCTGCGAGGTAGGTACTGAGTTTCTGCATGAAAACTGTGACTTAGAAATGGTAACCTGGTCCAGTGACAACTGAAGTTCCTTATACTCAATATCTCTGCAAAAGAACAGTCCAATAAATTGCATACTCAAACATACCGCACAAATCCAAAATATCTCCTTTGAAAATACGTGTTAGCTTTCACAATGGTTTAATTTTCATTCTTCCAAGATTTTCACTGACTCTGCAGTGCGAGGCTGGGGATGTCAGCAAGCAGGGAATTTTATGGTCTGACCTCATCCCCATGCAAGTCTATCACAAACGTTCCACTGGGAATCACGGACGTTAACATCTTTGTACTAGATGTGCTTGCTCTCTGAACCTAAGTTGCGCCAACTTCTTCTCAGCCATCCATGGCACCCTGCAGTTTGGAATCACAGCCATGTCAGCTGATAGAAAGACACAGATCAATTCATCTGTCTCCTCCTCAATCAGGAAGTGGTCTCTGCCCTGGCTCTCACAATTAGCCCTGAGGAAAGGAAAAGGAGCAATGTTCCTCTCTTGTCAGCACAATGTGCTTGTAACTAGACCACAGGAGCTTCAATGTCATTTTTCTGACAGTCTCCAGACTTTCATTTCTGCTCTGTTCTGTTTAGTATCTGCCCCAAAGGCAGGGCAGATTTTTGTGCAAAGTAGGCTAAAAAACCAAATCAAGAATAGACTGTGGATCATATTTTGAAACATTAATTGATACAGATCTGATGCTTAAATGGTCTCTGTTGGCTTTGTCAATAGCAGCAGTAGAGCATATTTCTGGAAGGAGAACTAGAAAAAACCCTACTTCTCTCTCAATTCCTATCTAGAATTAATTTCCATCATTGATGATGGTGAATAACCTGGAGGTAAATTCAGCTCAAGAGTATGCTGTTATCTCCCTAGCACAGTTTCCTCCTTTTTACTCAGATCACTTGTCCCAGCTCATGGGAGTAATGCAGGTTGCAGGGATGAGTCTTCCCTTGTGCTGCTGGCTCTCACATCTGTACAGGAATGAGTGCAGCGTTAGCCAGTGTGTCTAGGGGTGAGTACCTACTTCAAGTAGTTTAAGGAAACACCCTATGGTTTCTCAACTGATACAGTTTAACTCCCCAAAGTCACGTATCAGAGACAACATTGCAATAAGCAAACACATGTGATCCTGACACACACATCATGCAAACACATCTTACTTTGAAGCCAGTTAAGAAATGGACTAGTCTAGAGAAAAAGAAGGAGTGTATGGTTCCCTGCTTTTTTGCACTATTCAACACAAGGGGTGCCCACTATCCTTTTTTTTTCTCTCCCCTCCCCACCTCCCTCCCCCCAGCCCAAATAGTCTTCCGTCACAGTCTGCTTCACTATTACTTATCCCTCTTATTCAGTATAGATTTCTGTCTCTCTCGGATTTATAGCAAGATAGGAATTTTGTAACACCTTCATAACTTGAAACAGAATTCATAAGCTGCAAGTCCAAACTCCTGTACATTCACCATCTCAGTGGCAGCTACTTGCCATTGAGAGAATGTAGTTTTGCCCTGGGTATCTGTGCAGCCCAAGGCAAGTGAGGGGATTTTTGGCAATTCACCTGTCCCTGAAAGGAGTAATGCTTGCTACCATGTCTCTGTCTCCCAAATTGACACTTCGATCTCTGCTGGGTAGCAGTACCTTTCACTGTGTCTGGACAGCACCAGTGCAGTTCTGATACCCATTACAAAACTGGGGACCAGGTCTAACGCAAGCGGCTACAAGTGCTATTACACTCAAGCATATGGTGTACCAGCTAATCATCAGGAATACTAGCACTTTTTAGCCCAATGTAACTAAAAGAGGGGGGATATGAGGAGAGAAAAGTGTCTGGGACATGCAAGCGCAGAGTGATACTGGAAGACACGAATAAAGCAAACTTAAGGGGTTTAATTAGTAATGAATCAATTACTGATAACACACAAAATGAATCAATTACTGATAACATGTAATGGTACAAAGTATTTTGACTTACGTAAGGACATAATTGACACTCACTATGCAGTGAGGCCGTGATGAACGGCTGTTATGCACAATAGTAGCGTAGCTCTGTACCCAAACCCAGCCTCCATGCTTGGACAGTAGTCGATAGTACTTGGTTGTGACTTGGCCTTTCACCAGCACTGTGAATACAATACAGGAAAGCATTTCACATTGCTTGGACTTGTGACCACTTCCCAGAAAGATTTATTTGCAAGGCAGGGACTGTTCTCCCTCCTTCTGCTCCCTTTAATCTCCTTCCACCAAACTAGATAGCTCCCCTGCAAAGATATCTATCCTGCCCCTTTAGGTAGTTTCACAAGGTCACATAATTGTTTACAAATAGTATGTTGCAAACAGACCTTGTTTGTCTTCCTTCTTTTCCAGTTCACCCTGGTCTCTTTTGCTTATGTTCTGCAAAACACTTACTGTTTCTAATCTTCTAACTGAAAAAGAAAAGTTAAAGGCAGCAAAAGTATTTTGAAATGGACACAACCAACGTGAATTTTTCCAGTATATTTGGAAGCACTTTTGTCATTCATAGCTTGATAGATTATTGTGTATTTTGCCATGTGTTTTATGCTATGATGCTTTTTCCTCTGTGAGGTCTACATTTTGAAGGTTGATTTAAAAGGGGAAAATTAAAATGCTACTTGGTTCTTAAGCACACAGATAAAGAAAAGGCCAGAGAGATGAATCAGTTATTTGATAGATTTCACTAGAGATGTAATCCTCTCCACATTAGTTTGGATTCTCTGGGAACAAAGATGTTTTGACATAAGGCTATGCTATAATAGGAGTTGTGCAGCATCTCTAAATATTTAAGCTAGCCACAAATATTTCTGGTTCAGTGCCAAGCATTTATCTAATGATTCACTAGAAGACACTGCCCAGCCTTCGAAGGCAGTTCTTCTCTTGTGTGACCCTGAAGCATTCCTTTAGGAAACTCCATCTTCTTACTCTTCTGTACAATAATTTTTTTTTAAATTAGAAAAAAAAGGGACTGAGCTTTCTACACAAACTGTATGCAAAAGAAGTGATCAATAGCAACAATTCCTTTATATTATACATGATTAAGAAATGGAATTCCTGCTTGCAAATGTAGGGCTTGTACTAGACTGAACTTAGTGGCAAAGCTCACTGCAATTTTGTTCTTTCATTGTACATGCTTGGTACAGAAACAGATACATAATAAGGAAATCAGACAACAGCTCTTTGTCTTTCAGCCAACTCTAGTAGAGCAAATGATGCCTAGGAGTATATGAAGAGAGAGTTGAGACCTTATGGGTAAGGATTAAAGGGCAAGCTAATATCGATGACACTGTTGTGGGTGTTTACTACAGGCCATCTGATCAGGAAGGGGACGTTGATGAGGCCTTCTACAGACAGCTGGAAGTATCCTCATGATCACAGGCCCTGGTTCTCATGGGGGACTTCAAGCAACCCAATATCTGCTGGAGAGACAACACAGCTAGGCACAAACAGTCCAGGAGGTTCCTGCAGAGAATTGATGATAACTTTTTGACACAGGTGATGGAGGAGCCAACAAAGAGAGGTGTGCTGCTGCACCTTGTGCTAACAAACAATGAAGGGCTGGTTGGAGATGTGGAAGCTGGGGGCAGCCTTGGCTGCAGTGACCATGAGATGGTGGAGTTCAGGATCCTGCAAGGAAGAAGCAGGGCAATAAGTAGCATCACAACCCTGGACTTCAGGAAAACAAACTTTGGCCTCTTCAAGGGCCTACTGGGAGGAATCCTATGGGATAGGGCCCTGGAAGGAAGGGTGATCCAAGACAGCTGGTTAATATTCAAGCATCACTTCCTCCAAGCTCAAGATCAGTGCATCCCTGAGTAAGAAGTCAAGCAAAGTGGGTAGGATACCTGCATGGATGAGCAAGGAGCTCCTGGCAAAACTCAAGCAGAAGAAGGTGTATACATAATGTGGAAAAGGGGACAGGCCACTTGTGAGAAATATAGGAATGTTGTCAACATATGTAGGGATATGACAAGGAAGGCTAAAGCCCATTTGGAATTAAATCTGGCGAGATGCCAAGGACAACAAGAAAGGCTTCTTCAAATACATCAGTAGCAAAAGGAAGACTAGGAAAAATGTGGGCCCACTGCTGAATAGGGTGGTGCCCTGGTGACGAAGGATACAGAGAAGGCAGAGTTATTGAATGACTTCTTTACTTCAGTCTTTACTGCTAAGGCCAGCCCTCATGAATTCCAGATCCTGGAGACTAGAGAGAGTCTGGAGAAAGGAAGATTTTCCCTTGG